TTTTGCATTGTCCCGCCTATGCCACATTTTCAATTTCAAAACATGATTCCAAAAAATATCCCAAATCACTATATTACCTATCTGTGCGGCTGAAATTTTGTTTTTACTTTAAATAAAAAGATCACATAGAATTTGTACACATTTCAATGAGAACCCGAAATCCCAATTCGGCCAAAATTAATCTCCTCATTTTCCGAGATAGCCAGCGGCGATCTAAATGAGTTCTCAATCAGCTTCGGAGCCCGCTGCTTAAGTTTAGATACAGGTCGAACGAACCCTGCCGCCCGATCGACATGTCCCTGAAGACCGGCGCGGGGATAATCGATTCTGTGACGGTGAAATTCGGATCTATCGGCGGTGGAAGCCTCGAGTTTATGCTTCACTTCAAGTGCAAATATTGAGATTTTTCCGTTCGGAGGTCCACGGGAACAGATGTATCTGGCGACGGAGGCGGAGAATATGAGAAGGGAGACGGCGATGGCATGCGAATAAAATATAAAGAAAATCGAGATTAGAACTATCATTAGACTATGATTATATAATTATTTTTGTAAAAAAAAAAATAGTTAGTTGATACATATCAGACAAGATTGGTTGGGATAAGATGGAGTTTTGCAGAAAAAATTGATAAAACTAGACAAATGATGTTTGTTCTCAGAGTTTATTATTATTATTTAATTTAAACAATAAAACAAACAAAAAAAAAAATCAGAAACATGCTACAAACCTTCGCATGCACCAGATCCAGATTTATATCTATTCTTCAAATAACAAGAAGCTTTTACTTTCCCGAGATTTTATATGGATAACTCATTTTTAGCCGTCGGATTTAATGGGTTAATTTGAGTCGTTTGATTTGTGTAATTTTATATAGTTGGGTTTGGTTAATGTTACTATGATTAGGCTTCATACTTGGCCTACATTTTGGGCTAATAATTGACGTCTTAATGGACTTGATGGGTAAAAAATTAAATTTAGACCCATCCAGTTAATTTACTCAAATTTTAGGGTTGGTTCATTTACATGCCATAGTAATGATAAATGCAATTTAGTTAAAATTGTCCACTTAAAACTTTTAATTAATTATAATATTTTGTATGTAATTATTACTCAAATACAAAACATTTTGAATTATCTTATTGCCATTTTAATTTTGCAATATGCTATTTGTACAACTTTTTCGTACAAAAAAGTTTGACAACATGATGTGGGAAGATGTAGGTGGTTGAGATGTAAATAAATATATGGTTGAGATTTGAGTGGATGATATTTTTAACTAAGTTGTCAATCAATGTTGTCAACCAATGTTGTACATGTAGCATTGTCCTTTAATTTTTATTAGGAAATCCGACTTTGGCATAAAGTGGGCAATATTATTTGAACTATCTTATTGTCATTTTAACTTTTATAAGGAAATGTTTTGTTATTAATACATGTCCGAAATTACGGTATAAAGTGGGAGATTTTATTTCGGTATGAAATATCCGACTTTAAATTGGTATGATTTTTATTTGATATAGATAGAAGTGTATTTGAAAATTTTGAAAGCAAAATAAGTGGAAGGAATTTTCTTTGGTATAGGTATGGAAGTCGAATTTTAGGTTCAACTTTTTTATAAAATCAAAATCTATTACTATATAATATAGTTGAGAAAAACTATTCAAAAAATTTGAAATAAATAATTCATTTTCCTACTTTTTTAAAGTCATTTTCCCGTTTTTTTATTTCGTTTTTTACTATTTTTGGATTTTTTTTTTTTTTTTTTTTTT